GCTGATAACACCAAGGCCACGGGTTCGGATCCCATATAGGGATGGCCGGTTTGCTCACTGGCTGAGCGTGGTGCTGACAACACCAAGCCAAGGGTTGAGATCCCCTTACTGGTCATCTTTAAAAAAAAAAAAAAAAAAGATAATGCTTGGATGTGGATGGCAAACCACCTGCATGGTTACAATCCCTCATATGCTCCCTGCTTTATAAAAGAAATCCCAATTTGATTGATTAAAATCCAGAACACTGTTAACATCCCAGAAAGTCTCCTCTTGCCCCTTCCTGGTCAATCTCCACCTCCGCCCCCAGAAGCAACCACTGATCTGAATTCTATCACCACAGGTTAGTTCTGCCTGTTCTAAAATTTTATATAAATCGTATCATACGGTAGGTAATGTTTTGTGACCAGCTTCTTCCACGTAGCATAATATGACTGAATGCATCAGCAGTTTATTTCTCTTTCTTGTTGAGTAGAATTCTATTGTGTATTCATTCTTTTTTGATGAACATCTGAAGTGTTTCCAGTTTGGGGTTATTACAAATAAAGCTGGTATAAACATTCTTGTAAAAGGCTTTTCGTAAATACATGTTTTCACTTCTCCCAGATAAATACCTAGGAATAGAAATGTAAGATCAAAGGATATATGTATGTTACCTTTTTCACTTATGCTTTTGACTAACTGAAAAGTCTAAGTTGAAATCAACTGAGCTGCAGGAAGGTTGAGATAGCATCTGTTTTGTGCCACTGCTGTACCCTAATATCTCTAGAACAATGTCTGACATAAAATAGGTGCTCAATAAATATCTGTTGAATAAATTAAAGAGAGCAACATCAAAAAAGTAAAAAAGACTTACACCTAATATAAGATCATTCTGTAGCCTCTTCTTTTTTTTTTTTTTTGTCTTTTGTCTTTTGTCTTTTTCCGTGTCCGGCAACAGATCGCAACCCTCAGTGTTGCCCCCGTACCGGACCGGGGACCGGCAACGGGATTGCAACCCTCGGTGTTGCTCCCGCGCCTCGCTCAGCCAGTGAACGGGAACCGGTCTGCACGTGGGATCCGAACCCTCGGGCGGGAGCGCCGCCACACTTCCCAAGCGGCGCACCATCCAGTGCGCCACCGGGCCGGCCCTCTGTAGCCTCTTCTAATTCTGCTGTTTTTACAGATAATTTTATATACTCAATTTCACCATGATTATTTTTTCTTTAACAGTATTGTTCTTGTATCAGAATCTTATTTGATAGGCTGGCCTGTGGCTCACTTGGGAGAGTGTCAAGCTGGTGGCACCAAGGCCACAGGTTCGGATCCCTATAAAGGGATGGCCAGTGAGCTCACTTGGGAGAGCGTGGTGCTGACAACACTAAGTCAAGGGTTGAGATCCCCTTTAAAAAAAAGAATCTTATTTGACAAGCTCCACTCTCTTCTCCTAATATAAAAAAAGATTTATCAATTTTATGAAATCTTCCTTTTCCAACCTCACTAACAGTTTTATAGATAAAATGATCCTTTGTTTTGTTTTGTTCTGTTCTTCTTCCTTGTTCTTTGAACATTTACTGAACTAAATAACTATGGTATTATCTACTTTTTGGTCCAGTTCTCAATTTTATACTCATTATTTCATAATTAATTTGTGGATTAACTTGTCTTTAAACTTTGTGTCTACTTCATTCATAATCATTTACACCAGTAAAAGTAAGGTCACAAGTATTTATTTATTTATTTATTTATTTTTTTTAAAGATGACCGGTAAGGGGATCTTAACCCTTGACTTGGTGTTGTCAGCACCACGCTCACCCAGTGAGCCAGGGCCTGGGTGTTATCAGCACCGCACTCTCCCGAGTGAGCCACCGGGCCGGCCCTTTTTTTCTTTTTTTTTATTATTATTTTTGTTGTTGTAGTACATTGCTTTTTCAATTAAACAAAAACTATGTTTTTATTTTTTTATTTTTTTTATTTTTTTTTTAAAAAGATGACCGGTAAGGGGATCTTAACCCTTGACTTGGTGTTGTCAGCACCACGCTCACCCAGTGAGCCAACTGGCCATCCCTATATGGGATCCGAACCCGCGGCCTTGGCGTTATCAGCACCACACTCTCCCGAGTGACCCACGGGCCAGCCCAGGTCACAAGTATTTATAAATTAGGTTTTTTCCAAATAATTTTGCCACTTCAATATTACTTTCTCAATTAATACCCATTATATAACTTTATACACTAAAGTAATTTACAGTCATTATTAATGTTTTTCAGGTGGTCTTTCTAAAAAAAAGCAAGCAAATTATTTTTAAAATCATTTTAAAGCTTTTTATAAATGTATCAATACATGCCCTGTTTCTTGGATTAATTCTATGGTGTTCATATCAGATATGGAGATTGTTAGTACTAGAAAGATAACTGGTTAATAAATTGAGAGTTGCCAGCAATGTATAAAACTATAATCTGTCTACTGAATTCATGATTAAAATAGTGTGTTTTAAAATTTGAAAGAAATTCTGGTTATGTAAACAAGGTAATGGTGGACCGTTTACCAATCATGTCACAATTCCTGGGACAATAACTTTTTAATTCCTATAACTGGAGAAGGGAGTACTAACTGATAAAAAGGTATGTGTATTATTTCAAGATCTAAAAATACTCCCTGGGAGCTAGGTCACCTATTAGCTACCATATGATTTTAAGAACAGATCAAATCACCTGATCATAATTTAACTGCCAAAAAAACCCCCGCCAAATAAAAAACTTTTGGTTAGCATCTATGACTCAGCATCACTCAATCACGTGTTATGTTGTATGGGGGAATATACTTACTGGGATGTAATGTTGGGACATGTTGTCCAAGTCTGTCATCTTTTAGCATGTGCAGCAATGTTGTTTTTCCTGCATTATCCAATCCAAGAAATACCAATTTACCAGTTTTCTTATATAACCCTGCAGAGTAAGAGCTATGATTGGTCAAAGTGATATCTGACACAGATTATCAAAATGACTTTATATTGGGCCCAAATAAGTTTGGATTTCTAAATCTATTTTCAGTTTTAAAAGAGCTATTTTTAATCTATGGATGATCTGGGACTTAAATAATTATAAAACTAAACTTTGCCCCAGTCAATAGAATATGTGTTGCTTAAACATATCTACAATGCCAAAATGCTGATTACCTTGACAATTTTTAGGGGTCAATATCTGTGTCCTCTTTTAGGGAAACATATACGAATTGACATCATGTATTTATGAAGCTAGATTGAAGAAAAAAATTAAAGAAGAAATTTTTCATGAATAAAAATAACATCAACAATAAAAACTACAGTGAGAGTTTTTTCAGTCAAAAAGTTAAATATTTCGGGCCGGCCCGGTGGCGCACTGGTTAAGTGCGCCGCTTGGGAAGCGCGGCGGCGCTCCCGCCCGAGGGTTTGGATCCCACATACGGACCGGTTCCCGCTCACTGGCTGAGCGAGGTGTGGGGGCAACGCCGACACTCTTATCCAGGCTGGTCTAACATGACTTATATGGATGCATAAAAAAACAAAATGCCATTAAAATACCAAGTAGTGGGTTGGCTGGTTAGCTCTTGGTTAGAGCATAGTGCTGATAACACCAAGGTCCAGGGTTTGATCCCTGTACCAACCAGCTACCAAAACAAATAAAAAATAAAATTAATTAATTTAATTAAATACCAAGTAGAGACCATTCTCTGCCCATCAAAGTAGCAAGAAAAAGAATTATGTAGGCCAGTTAATTCAGTTGTTTAGACTGTGGTGTAGTAACACCAAGGTCAAGAGTTCAGATTCCCACACCCGCCAGCCAAAAAAAAAAAAAAAAAAGAAAGAAAGAAAGAAAAAGAAAAAGAATTATAACAGCTATGACTAGAAAGAATGTGGTAAAAGAGGCACAGTTAGTGGCAGTATAAACTGGTATAATTCTTTTTCAAAGCCAACTTGGCGGTAATATATCTGTTGATCACATTTGACCCAAGAATTCTACTCTTAGAAATTGCCCTAAATATAGAAAAGCTTTATGTATTAAGATGTGCATCACAAATGTTACTTAAGAAAAATTTTGACAAGGGTTCAGATCCCCATACCAGCCAGTTGCCTAAAATAAGATAAAAATTTTAAAAAAATTTTAAAGATAAAATTTTGGAAATATCTAGGTTCAACAATAAGTTAAATAAATTACGGACTGGCCCGTGGCTCACTCGGGAGAGTGTGGTGCTGATAACACCAGGGCCCCGGGTTCGGATCCCATATAGGGATGGCTGGTTTGCTCAGTGGGTGAGCGTGGTGCTGACAACACCAAGTCAAAGGTTAAGATCCCCTTACGGGTCATCTTTATAAAAAAAAAAAAAAGAGAGAGAGAGAAATAGGATTTCGTTTGTTTTTTTGAGGGGGGGGCAGCTGGCTGTCATTGGGATCTGAACCATTGACCTCAGTGTTATAATGGTTTTTCTTTTTTAATGCATAATATAAAGTACCAGGGCCGGCTCGTGGCTCACTTGGGAGAGTGCGGTGCTGATGACACCAAGGCCACGGGTTCAGATCCCTATATAGGGATGGCCGGTTGGCTCACTTGGAAGAGCGTGGTGCTGACAACACCAAGTCAAGGGTTAAGATCCCCTTATCAGTCATCTTTAAAAAAATAAATAAATAAATAATAATATAAAGTACATTTGTGAACATACCATACCTCTTCCTGTGGTATTATTTATTTTTATTATTCTGTTTTTTTTTTATTAGTCCTGTAGGAGCTTATTATTTACAATATAGGCAATTTTTTTTTCTTTGTGTTTGTTTTGAAACCCTGTAGGGTAAGTTGTTGCTATTCCTGATAATATACTATTGAGTTTTAAAGATTTTCAGTGAAATTGCATTTATGTAGTTAGCTTATCACTCTAGATGATAATCTTTTTGAAGGAAAGAGTCAAGTTTATCATCAATCTTTGTATTTCTCATGTGTCTAGCTCAGGACACAATATGAGCTTGGGCATAATATGAACTTGGTAAATGTGTATGGAATTGAATAAAATATCTCAACACACTCTACTGCTTTATTTGACTCTCTACAGCAAAGGTTATTATGATTCTCTTTGCAAAACATGTATCACACCTTAAAATCTCTAGGAAAGACAAACCACTTATATATGAGGGGTCTTCAAAAAGTTCATGAAGATTCATATTATCTTTTAATTCTATTTTTTCATGAAATTTTAAGTGCCCTCATATTCTCTCTGATTACAAATTTCAATTTCTACAACTTAGAATGTTAATGGTAGAGAAGGTATAACTTTCAGCCTAAGTAAAATAAGAACTTCTTTTTTTTTTTTTAAAGATGACCGGTAAGGGGATGTTAACCCTTGACTTGGTGTTGTTGGCACCACGCTCCCCCAAGTGAGACAACCAGCCATCCCTATATAGGGATCCAAACCCGTGGCCTTGGTGTTATCAGCACCACACTCTCCCGAGTGAGCCACGGGCCAGCCCTAAAATGAGAACTTCTAACATGTTATATTCTTACACGCACACACACATATATGTTGCTGTTGTACTTCTCATTCTTATCATACTGACACGTGGAATTATTCATAATTTTGCTAATTTTGACTGATCATAAGAAAAAAATTCTGCTCATGTTAGTTCAAGTAAGGGGGAGAGGAAAGGGGAAGGGCTATTGCCAGGATCCAGGGAATCTTGTAGGAAATACTACTAGGTCTCATACAAACTGGAGGTGGTCTCACTCTCCTCCCTCTGTCAGTGATATGGTCTCTTGCCCCCTCATCCTCTAGGAATTCTGAGTTTGGTGGGCCCATCTGTGTCAAGCTTGACAGCCCACGTGAGTGGGAGGTAGTTAAAGAAAGCAGTGTTTTGTGTCATACTTTGTCTAAAGAATGTCAAAGATAGCACGACCCTTCAAACTTTTTGGACTTGACCCAAATTTTGGGCCTGGGTTCTTTTGTTCAGCTCTGGAAACTATACTTTGTTGATCTAAAAGTATATTTTTGTATATATAATCTTTTTCCAGGATTTTTTTCTCTTATTTTTCATATTACCACTATTAACTTATCAAGGCATGTCAAGTAAATTCTGAATTGAACTGTACTCTGTATTTTCTACTATGAATTAAAAGTGTCTTTAACGTTCAATAAGTATGATTAAAATTTGAAAAATACAGAAAGTTATCAAACCCAGAAATTTACCACCTGGAACCAATTGCTATAAAAGACCAAAAGAAATACAAAAAGGGTTTTTACTCCACCCAGGAATAATCAGACTTGGAAACTCTTATTTCATTATCATAACCTTCCTACTTTTTCTCTCCACTCTTGCTCCTTTCTCCTCACCACCAACAGATTTTGGTAAATATCCCATAGGCTAAGGAAAGACTTCTCAAATGATGTTTAGTCTGTCTCTTGAAGATTAAGTAGGAGTTTGACAGAAAGTTTTTAAGGGCTTACCATGTACAGAGTGGTGAAACTGAAAGGGTACAGCAAAAAGTTAGGTATTGTTGGATGATATGATTGGGTTGAGAGAGTGGTGAACTGAGAGTAAAAGTCAGTGGGTGCTAATTAGCGAGGCAGGAACCAGAGTGATAAACAAATTTGAGACTAAATTTAGTCATCTGGACTTCATGCTTGCTACTTATAATAGATGGACAAAAGAAACAATACTGAATCAGTCCTTAAATTTAATAAAACAGAGTATAGGGCTTCTGGTCAAGATGGTGGAATAGACAGTCCCCAGTGTCACTCTCTTCCATAAAACAAATTTACAAATATTAAAAAGCAACAACAGCTAAGCTGGGGCCACTAGACCTCTGGGGAAAAGGAGGAGAGACCTATGGAGTTCATGAAGGTGGGAGAAACCATGATGAGAGAAAGAAAGGACCGCTCCTTCCATTTCAAGCCCCAGCCACTTCAAGGCTGGAGTTGGTGAATGCATGGAGCAGGAGCTGGCAAAAGCCACAGCTGTGCCCTTTGGATGAAGTTGCTTGGAGGCTGCAGGGGAGAAGAGGAACTTGGTGGCTACGCCAGCAAGATTAATAGGGTTCCCTTGGACCCACATAGGAGCAGAGCCACAACAACTGAAAAAAAGGAGCCACTCAGAGGCTGGTGAGTCACCGCAAGGGACTAGTATATGACCTATCCCATGGGAAGTGTTTGGAGCATAGGCAGTAGGGGGAGACTGGCCCACTGGCAGAACACTGGGGAACAGCAAGGACAGATGATCTGCTCCCCAGTCAGTGCAGGACCACTCAGTGGAGACTGGTCAGGAATATAGAACTGCAGGGGATGCAGTTTGCTGAAAAGACTCAGGCCCAGACCAGAGTTTCTACACAATTCAGGAGACCTGGAAGTACCTATAAAGTCAACCATTAAAACCTGAGCTGCACAAAAAGCATTCCCCAGGGAATCAGTAGCAAAGCAACAATTTAGCTCAACCACATGGCTCAAGTGCTGGTCCCCACAGAAGTTCCCTCATTTTAGAAGTAAGCAAAGGACAACAAATTAGTTCCAGTGCAGAGTTTAAATGATAGGAATAGCAAATAATCCAGCACAGAACTGAAAGAAAAAACAAAATACCCACAGACCAGAGACAAAATCTGATATCAACTAGTAAAGGTCTCATATCACCAAAGAACACCTATAAAACCTAGAAGGACTGGAAGTCCCTGGGCTACTAAACCAGGGAGGGGGGAGGGCTGGGGGCCTCAGCCACGTCTCCCCACACCCACAACCAGCCCAGCCACGACGACTGAGCTGCCATAGGAAGCACCATGGGCTCTCCTGAGCCAGGACAGTGGGGGGCCTCAGGCCTTAGCCTCACCCTCCCAACACAGGCAACCAGCCCAGTCACAATCACCGAGCCACTACAGGAAGCACCCTGAGCTCCTGAGCTGGGGTGGTGGTGGGGTGAGGGCCTCAGCCACACCC